AAATATGAATCAATAAACTTTAATACACATCCGGACTATATAAATGGTAATAAAACAAGGATAAGAGTTTTATGGAGTATTTCATTTTTAACAAAGGTTCAATGAGAAAAAATGGAATGAGGCTCATTTTTTCTTTTTCAAAATCTTTCAAGGAAACGGCAACAAGAAGAGCAGACAAAAAAGAGTGAATTTTTATTTTAGATACGAGTTTTCAGAAAAAAAACAAGTAATAACGGCTCAAACAATTTTCCCGCCGGCTGACAAAGCAGCCGGGGCTAAGCTGGACGATTGACTTACAACGGTTTTCTGTGCACAGAAGAAGGTTAATTTATACACCCGAAATATTCGCTTCTTCTAAGATATTTATGACACTTACTTTCAATTTTTTAAATTATAATTCTATAAGCTATCTTTCCGCAAGTGTCACTCATAACAAACAGTTCATTTCCGCTCACCATTCGAAATTACAGTGTGTAAAATAACCTGAAGATGGCCGAGGTCTTTCTTACGCAATTGCAGTTGAAAGCACTTGTATGCATTCTTTTCACTGTTAGTTCCAACGAGCAAAGATTTTACTTAAACGCGCGCGCTGTTCAATTTGTTTAGAAATGTCATGAATTACCGTAATTTACGAAAAATAGTTCGAACTCAATTCGATGGCATAAACGAAATTTACCTTGAAAAAAGTGAACTAAACTGTTCTACTGCATAAAGAATTTGAAATCCCGACTTTACATAATAAATTTTTCGAGATATTGAATAAGTGCATGGAAATGAATCCACCCGACGGCTGGTTAAAGACGGGATGAGAACGAGCTAGCACGGGAATCACAAACACGTACACGGCTCGTGGGTCCTCTTTTCTGTGTCACTTGTTCGCTCGCATCCTCTGTTCTATATTACGTCGTAAAAGTTACCTTATGTTACATCGATTCGAGATTCATTCTGCCTTGGAACTTTCGTGCACGACTTTATTACGCTGCTGCTTCGCAGCCTCACGTCTTCGCGAGGCTGTAATACATTTAAAGACCCATTCAGACCCTCTTTAAACACAGATTTTGCCTGCGCGCAATGTCGGTAACCTCGAAGCACCCCAGGACATTACATAGACAATCGGCTAGAAGTCTCGAGAGAGTTCTTTTGCCTATTTGAGCTAGTTATCCGTCTTTTCGGTCTCTTTTGCCGACTAACGCCGTTCTTAGCCGAGTTATAATTTTTGGCCCTCCCACCTCCCCCTTGGCGACACGTATGCCCTTCTCCTTCCTCTGTCTTACGACCCTTTTCCTTTGCAAACTCTTGCTTCCCGCAACTTAGTTTCGCGAAGGCGGTAAGTGGTTCTTCTGACAGTGGAAATGGTGTACTATAATTACTTTAATGCACCCATTTCATTTTAAGCTTTTCGCGCAGTCACGTGGTTCAGTGACATAAACTGGCAAAGTCTCGACTGCAAACTATAAAAGTTCTGTGGCGCTTGAGAAAAAGTTAATATACTAATTGCTGGTTTTTTGTTGAAACTACTTTACATCCCAGTGACAGCCGGCTCTACACTGCACTTTGTTGATTGAAATTGATAATTTTTCGTGCTTCGTGTTGAAAATACTTTCGATAAAATACTTTTGCCTGAGTGATCTTTTCCGGATTTTTATACCTCAGTGTGTTAACGTGACATGAAAGTTCCTAGTTTCCGGGTAAAAAACAATTATTCTAAAAGTAAAGAAAGTATTACAAATCAGAAGGATAGGTCCTTCCGTCATTTAAAAGCTTTTATCTTTAAGTTTGGCGATAATTGGTTTGTATCTATAAATTCACCTGTACCTTATGTCCAAATTCCTCAAACCATTAATGAAGAAATGATTCCAAGTTCCTGTTCTGGTAAATGAAAAAAAATATATGACGAGGACAATTAGGTTGGGATTGTTATTGGTGCTTTCTTATACTGGTTCTCTGAATTTGTTGGTTTTAATCCTCTAACTTCTATTTTTTTTCTGAAAAGTAACTTTGGTTGTGGTGAAATTTCACTGGTGGATTTAACATTGAAAGTTTTTAATTCTATAATTGGAGGAAGTGTGATAGTTATTTTTGACGTGCCTTTAATTAAACGAGTTCTAAGGAGTTTTAATTTTGCCCTGACGTTTAAGAAATTCAAAGCTGGTGAGCTCTTGGTTTAAAAATCCATCTGTTTTCTTGGAACGTGTTATCATCAAAGAACTGTTTGATATCTTTACAAAAATATATAACGTTGAAAACCATATTTTCAGGTTTCTAGGTGGCAGAAGATAGAGTCGTCCGTTGGTGGTTAACAGTCGACTACTTTGGTGAGCATGCCTCTGAAATGAACTAAAAAAAACGAGAGAGAAAGCCAGAAAAGTTGCGTTTTGAACCCAGTAGAGTGGATCTTTTCATCTTTGTCTCGATCTCAGCTATGTCGTTGAAGTGTAATAACTCAATTGTTACATCCGAAAGTGACAAGCACCCTCGCCTGGTAGTCACTATGATACGTTATGACACAGAAGAAAGGTCCTGGTTCTCGATTTTTCTTCCCATAAACGTCCTGCTCATTGTTTTGGGGATCATCGTAAACTTAGCCATCTGCTTCGTTATGCTTCGTAAAAACCGATACCGA